ACATGAAGCAAAATCATTTTTCCAAAACCTGAAGGGGGAAAGTTTTCAATTAATTTTTGTTTGTTCTAAATTTAAGAATTTTATTTTGTTTGTCTATTACTATTTGTTACTATTTTCATGTAACTTTTTTTATAAATATGTAAATGTAAATTAATTCAATAAATAATATTTATTTAAAATTTACATTGATTGTTTTCTTTTCAGAATGGGGGAGGGTAATATCGACTTACGCAATAATATTTTGGGGTAATGGTTAAAAAAGTTCCCCGACCGCTGGTCTAAACGATCCAAAATTGGGATCATTTCCTCGATCTTTCAAGTTTGCATTCTTAAAAATATTCATTACATTTTCTAATAAATCTTTGTTAATAAAATAAAATTATATATTTTTAAGAAAATTAAATTATTACTATATACTAGTAACATTATTGACACACAAAGCTTATTTCTTTACAAAAGTTACAAGAATATTAGTTGCAGGTTTTAACAGACATTACACTCAAAGTATATTTAATATTAAAATTAAAAAATGATTAACATGTTTGGCATTAATACTATTTAATTATATCAATTTCTTATTAATATAATTGAAGCATATTTTTGATAAGTTTTAATGTATCTGTTACCAAATTTATAATGCTTGTATTTAAAATAAAATTGTAGGATTTCTTTTTCTAACAATCATTTTTAATGTTAGGTTTCATTTTGATGGGTAATGTGAAATTTAAGATTTTATTACATAATTAGTAAGTCGCATAATTACAGTAATTTGATTGCATAATTCATTATCGGTGTCCTTCTTTTTTATTTGCGTGATCTGCAGTAATTAGTTCAATGCATATTATGAGAGAAAAATAAATACATCTAACATTTTTTAATTTTTTTTTTATTAATTTAATATATTCGAATATATTTGAAAAATAAAACAATTCGATTCAAAGTCAATTAATTCAAGATAGTCATTGCATTGGCGAGTATTACAAGGTAGGAAGAACTCATGCGCATCGTGGGTGGATATTTAACCTGCAGGTTAATGAATATGTTAAGGAGTGGAATTTGAATTATTCAATTAGAGATAATTATTTTCGTAAACGTCTGTCATTTCCTATAGTCTATATTTTTCTATTCTCATCACCTGCAATTACGGACGCTTTGCGAAATTTCTAATAACAGAAATCGGCAGTCGGATGGAAAACAAAAAGCACGCGAGATCACAGGGAACAATTACTGGCTCTTTTGGTTTCCCACTAACCTTGGTAGATTTGTGTCGTGGCCTGTGTCCCCACATCGCCATGTTTCTATACTGGATTTGTATAAAAGAACTCACAAGAAAATATCCAGTCGTACATCGGGGATCCTCAACGTTCGAAAAGATGAAGTTCCAGGTGAGATATACATAACCAACATATTTTAATATATATTTTACAGTATTAAATCGTTTCAGGCGTTCATTGTGTTGATCTGTATTTGGCTCGTCTTGGTGAATTGCCAAGATCCGAAAAAGGACGTCGAAGAAATCGAACCAAAGACTGCTGATGCCAAGAAGACTGTGAAGAGGGGTATCTACGGATATGGTGGCTACGGATATGGTGGTTACGGATATGGAGGCTATGGATTTGGAGGATACTACCCCTATAGCTTTTATGGTTGGCCCTATTCCTATGGTTACGGTTATAATTATCCATACTACGGTTCAGGTTTTGGTCACTATGGTTACTGGTAAACTTTCAGATGACAGTTAGACCTAAGCCTATTATAATATTTTGATATATACACATATCTTGTTTAATTTGTATTAATTTTAAATTATCTAATTAAAAGCATAATCTTATGTCAAGATTTATATCAAATTTGCAATATGTTAATTTTATAAAGTATTTACAGACTTCAAATAAGTGTTGTTTTTTTATGTATTTTTCAAGCATATGTAAATTTTATATATAAACAGATTGTAGAACGTGATTGGAAGCGAAAAATAAACAAAAACAATAAAATCTTCAAGAAAAATAAAAATTAATTCCAAAAAAATTGTACAGAAATTGTTTATAGATTGATCGTTTTTATCTATATTTTTTCGAATAGTTTGTGGCTGTACCGATTAACCACACTATACATTTCAAATTAGACCCAAGGTACCTCAAGGGTGTGTACTCGGACCTATTCTCTATCTCATCTTCATATCGGATCTCCCAACAACAAATGAAATACTGATGTAATCTGAGAATAAACCAGAAGTTGTATCACAAAACTTACAAAGTGAATAAAATCAGCAAAAAACTTTGGCTCAAAGAATGACGAAGAAACATACTTGGATAAAATGAAAACAATTAGGTCTGAAATTCAGCAAACTATATTGGCTACTTGCAAGAAAATAAGTGCTATCGCTAGACAATAAATTATTAATATGTAAGTAAATACTCAAACAAGTATGGTCATATGGAATACAGTCGTGGGGTTCAGCAAACAACTCTAACATCGAAATACTCCAGCAATTCAAATGAAAAACATTGCACACAATCACCGACGCACCCTGGTTATGTCTCATTAAAGTCTTGATTTATTCTTGATATACACAAACTGTATGTTAATTAAATCTCCCTGGATACTAAAATTCAAGTTTTTAATCATCGTGGAATAATGGAAGGTTCAACATATATAAGAAAATAATGTTGTTTCAGCGAGACTACAGTAAATACCAAGAGGAATAAATCTGTGATTATAGAAACAAAATTATGTGTCAATCAATAAGCTAATTACGTTGACGGATAATGTTAAGATGATTTGCCGATGTAAATGAATAAAATAAAACTTTAACAAACAAACAAGTTATAGTTATCACATAATTCATCTTTTGTATTTTTTCTTTAGTTTAAAGCGTTTTCACATCTATCACAAATAGTAGGGATGTTGCATCTATCTTCATCTTCTCATAATTTTGTATATATAATATAAATTATAAAAATTAAACTAATAATTTACATCTTGTGAAATGTGTACTTAAAATGATCAAACACGGCGCATATAACGAGTAAAACGAATTCTTGGCACTAAAGGTACCGACGTTTCATGTATTCCTAATCGTACCAATTGTAAATGTGTTTTGTTCCACACGCTAGACCACAAACATCATTAGTCACTTGCCAAAGATTATTGACGCTTGGTGACGATGATAATACGGTGAAATTACACCTACTTCAGTTTTTTGATGATAAAGACTAGAAGTTTTATGAACATGGGATATTGAAGTTGACGGAAAGATGGCAAAAGATTATTGATGGAAATGAAAAGTTTAATTATTATATAAAAAAATCATGTTTGCCGAACACATATTGTTTATTCTTGATTGAATTTTAAGAGAATAAATATTGGCAAGTTTTCAACCTCTCAAATATACTTGTCGGTTGGTAAGTCAACACACATATTTTTCTTGAAAAACAACAAATATTTGGAGAAGAGTGTGGCGCCCTCGTTACAAAAGAGTTTTAGAAAAAGAATGCATTAATTGCATATTATGTAAGAGTATTATTGCTCAAATTGAATTATTCACCCATAAATTATAGTCGTACGAAAATCTTAATTAAAGTTTCCAAAAATAGCTCATGACAAAAAAGATAGTATAAACGAAAATAAATCATTCAATTACACTTTAAAAATGTATGATATCAGTCAGACTTTATAACCTGATCAAATAGAGTACAGGTACATGTTATATAGAAGCTACTAAATAGTATTAGTTAGGTTCCCAAATTTATCCCAAACATATTTTTTTATCCATCAAAATTTGAAGCCGAATTTTAAAGATTTAAAGTGGCGAGCACGGTCAAATATTTTTATTAGGGCGAAAAGACTTAGGTCAATAACCCTTTGGATACAATTGTGACTAATAAAGATAATTATTATTTTTATTCTAAATTTGATTTTTTTGTATTTTTTTATCAATAAAAATTTTTTTGCTCACACATATTTTATTTTTGTGAACTTACAAGCTTATCATCTATAAAATAATCATCAGACCGATCTTAACATAGGTGCACCAGTCTGGTGTAGTGCAAGTGATACCAATTTTAAACTGCTCCAAGTGTATCACTGCAAATGTATGAGACTTGCGTTGAACAAAGCTAAATACTCGAAGATAAAGGACATGCACAATGAAGCGAACCTTTCATACATGAAAGACTACATTAGAAACATCTCACAACGTTTTTGTGAAACAACGGTGGAAAATCACCAACCATACCATATCTGAGATAGCCAGTAGCCGAACTCCGGTAACGCACAGACTTTCCTTCAGCCGTTTACCGTTCGGAAACCCATGAATCAAGAAGTCGAGAACCGGGTTTTTTAAAACACCAATCTTTCACTTTCCCTAAATAAACTTGAGAGAAATCCAACACATACATCAATTATACCAGTATGGCCTAAAGCCCGGAAAGGAACACAACAAATAATGATTGTCCATCTTAAACTTTTATGTACTTTTTAGACTGATAGGTGAAGAACACTATTAAATCTAATCTAAATCTAATCTGCCCGAAAAATGCTGTACAAAATTCAAAGAACGACATTGTATAGAAATGAACAGTTTATATGTCTTTACAAAGAAAATAGTTTTAGAATTTAGTAATTATTGTAGTATAATTATATTTTCATTGCTATAAATAATGGAATAATGTTTCCTGAAGGGGACTCACCTTCAGGAAAAATTATTCCATTATTTATTTTTAATACGACATAAAAAATATCTACTTGCACAATTAACATCCGGTCATTATTGCTAGGTCGATAACGTCAATAACATTACTAATTAATACGTACCAAAATAATTGCTTACCATGTCAATTAGACATGAACTAGTAGGTTGTAGCAGATTAAAAATATATATTATAATTGCATGCATTTATTCTAGTAAATAAATTTATTTTTTCATTTTCTGTTTAATCCAATCTAAATATTTAGGGATGTACGTGAAGACATCTGGAAATCCTTTGGCACACGGAACTCCGCTAGAAACAACACCGATTTGCTTCTTGCTGTTAAAGTCGATCAAAGGACCACCGGAGTCTCCTCCGCAAGCACCTTTCCCATTTTCAGTTGAAGTGCAGATGAAGTTTCTAGAATCAAAGCGCAAAGCCCGTGCAAAAGATTCCGGACAGTTGCCGTACCTAACGTCCAATTTCTGCAATTTTCTGCTCTCCTTACGATGTTCGGTGAAACCCCATCCGACCAAAATACCCGTGCCATTTCTTTTCTCCGATTCCAATTCCACGAATGTGATCCCATCTACAGGCGAGGCCAGTCGAATCAGACCTATATCGTTGCCGGTAACTTTCGGAATGTAATCCTCGTGCGGTATAAGCTTTTCTACTTTTTGTTGCGTATTTTGAAAAATGGTTCCGCTTCCCGTATAGACTTTAATGTTATTTAATCTAAAAAAAAAAACAAGCCCTCCAGTTAGCAGCTATTAACAGTTTACATACACAAAACCTGATATTGAATATGCAGTGAGCTGCTGTCAAAATCCATCGGTCTGCGATCAATGTTCCGCCGCAGAACATGGTGTCTCCATCTTTTAAAAATTTCATCGACACCATGTACGGAAAATCTTCATAATTTGCATTGAATCCATGGACAATCCGATCATCGCGCTTCAAGCTGACGGCAAAGCCAACGACTGAAATATATGTTCAATTAGATGCTCAGAAACAATACACTTCAATATATTTATTCAAAATAATAATCACTGTCACTCACGAAAGACTAATAACAAGATTAACATTAATTTGTCCATTTTTGTAACTGTGTACACCTTATGCTTTCCTACAGGGTCGAATAAGTTGGACTGAGTTAAATTCTAACAGTTTACACTTTTTATGCATTTCGAGGCTTCCGATAAGAAATGTCGGTATCACATCGGTTTGTTGGTAATTGCCATTACTGAAATACAACGAATTTTTTCAGGTACCCATTTTTAACTCAACATATTTATGATTTATCAATCCGGAATGCTCATTCAGAACTTTAAATACTACTAATACATACATACTTCAATGCATATATGTTTATATACATAGAAAGGACTAATAATTATTTTAAAAAATCACAATGGTTTTGCTTATTTCTGTGTAAATGGCACGGAAAAACCCCAAAAAACAATACTTAATTATAAACTTTAAAAAGGAAAATAATTCAAAGTAAAAATAAAGAAAAGTCCGCCTTTCCACCCTATTTATAAATTATTTAGTTTTTGCAATAAATGTTGTTATAACTTGTTATTTGTATATATGATCATTACATCATATAATTAATAGCATACTTCATAAATAAGTTAAAATGGTTAGGTGACTAATGATAATAATTTTATTAGTGCAAAAATAGTTGCAACATAACTCAACGTTTTTCCTATTATTTTTTGTTTTTTTAATAATTCATGTATTTTGTAGGACGGAAAGACCACTGGCCAATAGCAGTAATGTTGCTACGACCGTATGCCCAGTGCTCCGCGAATTATGGAGCCCCCAAACAATATTAGTTACGGCCCTAAAACCAATTTTTTTTTTATGTTAGCTGTCGCATTTTTTTCTTGGGACGTCGGTCACCGAAATTATTAAATTTTTGGCTACCTAAGATCGACTGTTTATGACGTTATGAAGCACAGTCTCATATTTTGGTCGAAGGACTTTTGGCTTCCTAACAGTCCCGACCTAAACCCTCTGGACTACTATGTGTAGGGCGTATTCGAGAGACATACCAACAAGTCTAGCGAATCTAACTCCTTCCGGACTGGTATCCAGGCCATGAACCGCGATCAGTTGAAAACAGAATGCTAGCGGTTTAGGACAAGGTGGCTATATAGAATGGAAGATTTCAACAAACCGAACCGAAATTAACCGGAATTTTTAACAGAACAGGAACTAAATTTTATTTACGTTAAATTTTGGTTCAATTTTTTTTTTTCATTAAATTAATTCATAATCTCTTTCTATCATGTATGCTCTTTGATGGTAGTATGTCGGTGCTAGTCTTTTGGTTTATTTATATAGACATTGGAAAAAAATAATTATTCGACATTGTATTGGTCGACCTATTGTTAATAGAGTATATAAACAAACAATGTATAAGAGAAATCAACGAGGTCTCTTTGAATACTCCGATTTCTTTTTTCATCGATATAAATAAAACCCTACTCACAATCACAACTCACACCCCATAAAAATAAGAATTTATTTATTAATAAGCAGAAACCAAGCCGCAAACATAGAACGACATATTGGGCGTTTTTGTCACACCGAATATGAGAACGATAAACATTTAATTGGTACGTAAACTGAAATGAAATTAATTTCGGTTCGACTCTTTGTTTATAATCAATTATTTTGTGTTTACATTTTTTTTTCTATTTAATACAAATTTACTATAGTACTATACACAATTTAATATCCTCTACGAATATGTACTCTCATTTATACTTTGGAAATATTATTCGAAATAGTTTTATGTATAAAACTAGTGTTGTCTTGTCTTCCTCTTTAAAGCTCATGTGAAGAATCTTTGCACGTGTACATTGTAATTCATAATAAATAGTTTAGTTTATCATTAATGATTATTTAAAAAAAACAGTACTTGAATTAAAGTGTGAATCGATTAAAGAAATATTTTGAGAAAAGGTAAAATTTAAATCAACAATATTACAGATTAAATTTTGTTAATTCTGCTATAGTTGTTTTTCTCCTATTTTTATTTGTATTACTATTTATTTTTTTAAATTTCACGCAAATAAATTATGTTTATCATTAATAATAAATTTGTTTCCACTTTTTATTACAATTATAGAAGCTATCAGAGTTACGTACAGCAGTATAAAATACTATTTATTAGGCAATGAGTCATTCTTTATGTAAATATCAATGTTTTCCTAATAATTTACCCAACATAATAATTATAAAGATAAGATGTATTTAATCAGAATTTGTACTTATATTATGATTTTGTCATATTTCGTGTGTTTGATGCATGTATATAATAAAAGTAATTTAGTTATTAACATCACAGAGAAAATTATGATAAAAACAGAATTACAATATTACCAAATGCATTCTCCATTTATATTTTGCATACAGTTCTCATGCTTTCTTACTTTGTAGTGTATTCTCACATTTTGTGTGGCTATGATTTCTAATACTGTATCAGCACTATTATTTTAATTAAACACAAAATTTAATAACATAGGTCATATATTGCACATTACTAGTTCAATTTGAATGTTTTCGAAATCCATGACAACCGATTATAACTGCTTACTAAAATACTGGATCCAGAATTAGATTTTCTTTTATCCGTAAACGGTATATATTTTTATAAATAGTCATATCAAGTTCTTTCTAAGAATTAAAATGTAAACGAGTTGAACGAGTTTTTAAATTGATGATGCTTTACTACAATAAAATTTTCAATACATGATCCATCAAGAAAAATATTGTAAAAAATATTATTTTTTTAATCAAATTAGATTTGTAACCTAATACGTTTTATGCAATTCTTTAAAAGCAATAATAAATTAAAGTAACGTATACATTTTATTAATCCTGATAATTCAATTTAGAAATGATTATTTTAAAATTACATTATCATTATATATGTATGACTGCAATACTAGATATATTTCACAAATGCACGAAGTTTGCGTTCAACGAAAATGGGTCAAACGCTTACGGAATTGAAGAATAGGAAGATGAGTAATAGAAAAGGCCGTGACTCCTTGAAACCCAGTAATCTTCAGTTATAATTCTTATAATGGTTTCCGCTTTTTCACGTTCAGTGTTGCGATCTTCAAATCGAGAATTCGCTTTAATTAGCCCATTACGCCCATTGTTTTGCATCAGCTAATGAAAAAATTTCGAATCAAACGATTTACATTCGCTGATTCTTTGTTTTGCATCGATATCGTGCAACAACCTTTCCACTCCTCACATCGCAACTGTTCCGTGCTTTATTGTTATTAGTTTTCTTGGTCTTCTACTTTTTCTTTCGGCTATTTCCTTCCCGTCGAACTCCAGTCGACTTCTTCCTCCTCGCGATGACAGTCTGCGTGCGGTTGGTGTCCCCGTGTGCTGTGGTATAGAGTTGGCTTGAGCAGGCGCTTGTCATCGCTGACATTTAAATTCATCATCCTCTGGGACCCGCACGATCAAATATCACAAAACAAAATACTTTTTCCGAAGTTCCATTTAGTTTTTTTTAACGTTTGATTTTCTTCTGTGCTTTGCAGTGACGATTCACTCCGTCGATGACATTCAATTAATCAGTGCACAATTAGTGAGTTTTGGGGATTCTGCTTTCTTTCATATTTGAAACAACCTTCTTCTCAATTATAGTAAGTGTTAACGCAAAAGGCATTATAGTTTTTCGATTTAATAAAGTTTTTAGAAAGTACGTTTTGTAATTAGAACAGAGTTTTATTATAACTTTTATTTATAATATTTAAATTATATTGCATCACGAAATAATATTTATTATTAATAGCACTTTCTTGCTGTTTACAAATTTAGTACACTAATCGAATTATATATGTTAAATTTGTTTCATAACAATACCTTTTCTAAATCTATTGACGAAATAATAATAATAATAAAACCATGAAAATGATTAGATAGAAAACGATAACGAGATAGTACATAGTTTTTATTTATTTACAATAATAATTTGAATAAAACCAATGACCGAAATCTCTTTTTCATAGCTTTCATATGAATATTCCTTCTTTTTCTTTAATGCTATAATTAATGCTAGTACAACAATACATCGCATAGTCCGTCAATATACCTGCTTAAAACCAAACAAATCGAGGACTTTAAAACCACATAAAACAAATCGTACAACACGAAACTAGACACGAGATTTATTTTTATTTTTCTGAATTAAAATTTTGTTTTTTTTTGATCATTTTAAATTGGATTTTAATGAATCCGGACTATGTGAAGTATTGCTGTACATATAAATAATACTAGTTTTTTTAAATGTATTTTTACCTAATAGACTATTAATCGATAATCAAATACTATGAATCGATATTTATTTTAAAATATAAACAAAAGTTTATTTTCTACTAATACAATAACTGAAACAAATCTTCAAAGAATACTCTTTTCATAATAAATTACAATATCTATTTATAGTTTTAGATACGATTTGATAAATAATAGAAGATATAATTTATGTTGATGTTGTTTATTAGATTTATATTAACTCAGTTTAATTGATACAGCACCATATTCTGTAGTCGCATATATAAATAATATTCCATTTTTGTTACTTCATTGTATGTTAATCAAAAACTAATGTTCAGAACAAATATTATTAATCATTATTAAATTTAGAATATTTTTGATTCGTGTACAATAACTACACCTGACTTATTGGTGTCGTTTTCAATTGAAGTAATATTTAAGATATTTTGAACATAATCTACTTAATGATTAATTAAAAGTATTGGTAATTTACATATTAATTTTATTTAACCTTTCTTATATTCAACGTGTATTTTGGAGACTCTTACATCTTCAGATTTATTAATTGTTAAATATATTAAATAAAGAGGTACACTGTTTAAGACCGTACCCGAATTTACAAATTATTCTTCTAAAATCTGCTGCTGTTGATTGAAATATCACCATCTCTTGTCTTGTTAAATATCTCGTTGAAATATCGATCAGGAAAGCAAACTTTAATATATTACTATGCATTAAAAGAGAGAAAAACATTACCATTTGATATTCCAGAACTAATAACAATAATCACTATACAAGATGACAAAACCCATGATATAATATATACGGACAAACCTGAACAGCACT